AGAGTGTGTGAGACATGCTCAATAAATACTGGCCAGTTGAAGGAATGAATGACTGAATGAATGATTTCCTGGGCTGAGGAAAAAAGGCACTCAATGTGGACATGGATGAACTCTATGAACTCTGGTTGTTGTTGTTAGGTGCCACTGAGTTGGTTGCAACTCCTAGGGACCCCATGTACAACAGATGAAACACTGCCTGGTCCTGCACCAGCCTCAAAATCGGTGTTACGTCTGAGCTCATTGTTGCAGCCACTGTGTCAATCCCTCTTCTTGAGGGTCTTCCTCAAGAAGACTCACTCTCTCCTTTACCAAGCATGATGTCCTTCTCAGGGACTGTTCCTTCCTGAGAACATGTCCAAAGTACTTAATAGGAACTCTTGCCTTCCTCACTTTTAAGGAACATTCTTGCTGTACTTCTTCCAAGATGGATTTGTTCTTCCTTCTGACAGCTCATGGTATATTTAATATTCTTTGCCAACATCATAATTAAAAGGCATAAATTCCTCTTCAGTCTTCCCTATTAATTGTGCAGCTTTTGCATGCATATGAGGCAATTGAAAGTATGATGGCTTGGGTCATGTGCCCCTTAGTTCTCAAGGTGACAGTTTTGCTTTTTAGCACTTTAAAAAGATCTTTTGCAGCAGATTTGCCCAATGTAATACATCATTTGATTTTCTGACTGCTGCTTCCATGAGTGTTGCTTGTAGACCCAAGTAAAATGAAATCCTTGACAACTTCAGTCTTTTCTCCATTTATCATGATGTTGCTTATCGGTCCAGTTATGAGAATTTTTGTTTTCTTTATATTGAGGTGTAATCTTTACTGAAAGCTGTAGCTCCTATTTATTGTTCTTGAAAATTGGGGGATGTGTCCAGTCTGCTGGCCAGGAGCCTTGATATTTGATATCCTGGCTTCAGCAAGGGTGTGTGTGTGTGTGTGTGTGTCTGTGTGTCTGTGTGTCTGTGCAGAGCAGCTGAGGTGGAGGGTGGAAGGAAGGTAGGGGACCCTGATGGGCAGCTTCCCTGTCGTATGGGGATAGACTCCCACTCCAGGCCCTGGTAGGGACATGGTGAGGTGAGTGAGGCCTTGTAAGAGAAAAGGTTAATCCTTGCAGGGATGGTGCTGGGACTTGGGGTGAACAGCTATGGGAATGGAAGGAGAGGGATGGACAGTTCAGGACATTGGCCTGGGGCCTTATGTGTGTGGAGTGGGAGCCTGTATGTGGGCCCCCACCAGCCTGGTATCTGCCAGGGGTCACAGGCTCTGGAACATCGTCCCCTGCTGGCCAAGTCTCAGCTAGTGGACTGGGGTCCAGGGGTTGGACTTCAAAAGATAATGAAAATTCCAGGGTGGGGGTGTCCTGAGGGTTCATCAAGGGGTGACCCTGGAAGTGTGTCTTTGTGGGAGGTCTAGAAGGAGAGAGTTGGGAAGCACTAGTAGGTTCTCAGGGGTGGATGGTCCTGGGTGATCAGAGCATGTCCAGTTTGGGAGGCTGGAGTTTCCTGGGATGCTTTGAGGAGTGAGGATGAGGCAGAGAGGTATTCTGTGAGGCCATGAGCACAGAGCCATCCTGGTGATCTTTGGGGGTATGAGTGAGGGATCAGGGGGTGTTAGACACCTGAATGGGGAGGCGGGTGAAAGGGAAGAATTTTGAAAGCCATAGTATCTGGGGGTGGGCTTTGAACACCAGATAATCCTTTCACAAGCCACTGTATAGAGGTCCTTGAAGGTCAGAACATGGGTCTTGGTGTCAGATGTGGGGGTTCAGCACTTGTAGGAGGGTTTTGGGGGTACTCTGAGAAGCAGAGTGTAGGAGACCTTTGGAGAATCAGACAGAAGGAAACCAAGGAGGGGGTGGATATGGAGTACTCAGAACAAGGGGTGTCTTGGCAAGTAGATCTTGAGGGATATTTAGGGGAATTAAAACTGGAGGACAGACTGTGAGGATGCATGTAAGGGTTGGAGCACTTGTAGAAATATTCAGGGAGGGAGTTGGAGGACCACAGTGCAGTTTCCTTTGGGAGGGGAAACACATGGGGGGCCAGATCATGGGGGTCTCAAGGGCATATGAAAGGGGTGAAGTGGGGGACTCAGAACCCCAGGGGGCTATATCACAAGCAACAGATTTTGATGGTAAGTAGAGGATCAGAATCAGGGCTATCTTGAGGGTGGAAAAAGACCTCTCTAAAGTGCTGAAGAGCAAAGATGTCTCTTTAAAGACTAAGGTGTGTCTAACCCAAGCCATGATATTTTCTATTGCAGCATATGCATGTGAAAGCTGGACAGTGAATGAGGAAGACCGAAGAAGAGTTGATGCTTTTGAGTTGTGGTGTTGCTGAAGAATACTGAAAGTACCATGGACTGCCAGAAAAACTAACAGATCTTCTCTGGACAAAGTTTAGCCAGAATGTTCCTTGGAAGTGAGAATGGCCAGACTTCATCTCACCTACTTTGGTCATGATATGATCTTGAATACGTTGTTGTTGTTATGTGCCATTGAGTCAGACCCGACTCATAGGGACCCCTCCTTAGGTTTCTGAGGCAGTATCACTATGGAAGTACATTGCCCAACTTTCCTTCCAAGGAGTGGCCGGTGGGTTTGAACTGCCAGCCTTCTGGTTAGCAGTCAAGTGCCTTAGGCACTAAGCCACCAGCGCTCTCTATCGCTCCCGAATTTAGTGACCATCTAAAGAATAGATTTGATGCATTGAACACTAATGATCAAAAACAGAAGAATTTTGGGACGACATCAAGAACATCATCCATGAAGAAAGCAAGAGGTCTTTAAAAAGATGAGAAAAAAAGAAAAGACCAAAATGGATGACAGAAGAGACTCTGAAGCTTGCCCTTGAATGGACAGTAGCTAAAGCAAATGGAAGAAATGACAAGATAAAGTAGATGAATAGATGATTTCAAAGAGCAGCTTGAGCAGACAAAGCCAATTACTATAATGAAATGTGCAAAGACTTTGAGTTAGAAAACCAAAAGGGAAGAATACGCTTGGCATTTCTCAAGGTGAAAGAACTGAGGAAAAAATTTAAGTCTCAAGTTGAATATTGAGATTCTATGGGCAAAATATTGAATGATGCAGGAAGCATCAAAAGAAGATGGCAGGAATACATAGAGGCACTGTACCAAAAGAACTGGTTGTTCTTCATCCATTTTAGGAGGTGGCATATGATCACGAACCAATGATACTGAAGGAAGAAGTTGAAGATACACTTAAGGAATTGCTGAAGAACAAGGCTCCAGGAATTGACGAAATACCTATTGAGATGTTTCAACAAACAGATGCCCCACTGGAGGCACTCACTTGGTTATGCTAAGAGATTTGGAAGAGAGCTACCTGGCCAACTGACTGGAAGAGATCCATATCTGTACCCATTTCAAAGAAAGGTGCTCCCACAGAATGTGGAAATTATTGAACAATATCATTAATATCACATGCAAGTAAAATCTTACTGAAGATAATTCAAAAATGGTTGCAGCAGTATA